GGGCATGTACTGACGAGCCAATCCAGCTTCAGTGTAGCCTTTCAAACGCTGTATGTCACCTCCTGGATATTATCATCCTCGATGTTGGTCATCTCGAGGCAGGTTTCCCCGCGGCCCTCCCTTTTTTTTTTTTTTTTTGGGGGGGGGGGGCGTGTGCTCTTGTCGCCTGCCGCGGCGGGCCCCCTGCGGCCCCCGCATCAGGAGGACGAGGGCGCTGACCACCGCTCGACAGAGCACCGCTAGAGCGGGCTCGCGCGCGGTCTGGTGAGCGACTGGGAGCCCGACCGCGGCGCATCATGCGGCCATCGTCGTCCCGCTCGTCCTCCTCGTCCACTGGGGAGCGATTTGGATCGTCATGATAGCTCTTCCTTATCAAGGGTAGGCGGCTCGGCGAGAGTCTCGGGCAGCTGGCGGGCCGATCTGACGCGACAGGAGTATACTGAATTTATCCTGTATACCCAACCCCATATCGAATACGCTCAGACAGATTACCAGCGTCGCGCGGGTTTCCCCGCAGTGGATCATCATCGATGAATTCCGTGTTTGTCGGATTTCCAATCATCCGAGGATAAAGCGTTGCATGTATCCCCTCATCTGTTGCAGGAATGGTAGAGTCTGAATCCGCGGGTGCCCCCGCCATGCCAAAATTACCTTCGACGGGCATGTGGAAGTTCTCGACAAACTCAATGCTCGTCGGAGTAGTTCTCGAGGGTCATGCTGGCACTTAGATACCTGGCAGCCATGAAATGAACAAGTGTGGCTGGGCCGTCGGCAGGGCCGGCTAGAAGCGAATCCCAATCAACATACTGTATGTCGGAGTCCGTTTGAGCCAGATGTATTGACGGACCCCTGCCTCCCCCATCACCTCGGGGGCACTCGCGTCGGAAATGTTGCGTGCTGTGACATCTGTCGCACTCCATGGTTTTACCGTGGGCATCATTTGGATGTCCTCGTCGTCCTTTACCCTTGCCTGATGCATGCCTGCGGTTTCTGCCAATACCTAAAAACATTTCCTCGTGCTGAGGTCCAGTGAGAGACGCTGGGGCTGCTAGTATGCCTCTTCCATGTAATCGCCGACGCTCGTCTTTGCCTGTGCTTCGACCCTTGCCTGTTCCTCTAAGTAACCGTCGCGCAATGCGTCTTGCCCTTCGGACTGGTTTCTTCCTGAACCTCCGCCAACGATGCCTGTGTTGTTGATAGCCCAAAAATAACCATTGAGCTTGCTGCTCTTCAGTAAGGCATGTAGGCATATCAGAGCAATCCAAGGCAATCGTTTCATCATCGGAAGACGCGCCCGCATCGGTACCGGAGTCGAAGTCGGACTCGGCGGGCGGCCCCGCTGAGCCCATTATGAAGGGGCCCTGGGACACACAAATAAATACACACAAATAAAAATATCCCCCATATTTTTCCCATATTTTCTGGGTTTCTGTCTCCCCCCCCACTTCCCATATTCTCCCATATTTTCCTGGGAGTCGACGATTAATTGTGTCTGTGTGTTTTTTCCCCTCCTGACATTAGGGCCATAGCTTGCATAGGGTAAGCCGCGTCGGGCGGCCCCCCAGATCAGGCCCAGGGGCCTTGCGACCCCGCAGCCGCTCCACCATTCTGAGCCAACAGTGTAGTGGTCTCAGTTGGCTGTGGATCATCGTTCCAGACGTTGTTGGCAGGTTGCCCTGCGTTGGCCTCTGCGTGGAAGGTCTCGGTTCGGTGACCGTAACTAAAGATGCCACCAATGTTGCCAGGGGCCCTCTCAGCTATATGAGCATATGGCCTCATACGTTCAAGTAGAGCGTCAAACAATGGTTGGCCCCTCGCCATGCGGTGGTTCACAGGCTGCAGGAGTTGTTGTGCGCGCGATGCCCCCACTCCAAGAGCTCTGAATATAATTACTGCTAACCTTTGGAATTTGGGAATATTGAAGCCGGCGGCTTCAGCTTCGTACCGGGCTATTTTCAAACCGTGCGAACGTCTGGTCGATACGTTCACCCGCATGGACTCGAATGTCAATGAGAGCCGTGCCAGAGTTAAGTTGGCGTTCCTCTTCTGGGTTCTCGCACTTCGTACTTAAGAGGAACATGAAGTAGGGGGCGCCGTGTGGCGAGCGCCTATATTGACGCCAAAATTAATAAGTGCCGGGGGAACTCATGGCTATACTCCGTGCGAGACCACCCAATATTCGCTGCAATGCGGCGGCTTGCTGGGAGGGCGCCATGTTGCTTGCGGTCACATTGATCCAGGCATGTACTTCGCGGACGAACTCGCGAGATGGTGCTTGGCCGGCAGGGCCCCAATGGGGGCCAATCGTTCCACTGTCGTCTCCGCCCCGCATATGTCCCACCGCACACCCAATAGCGACACATATGAGCACAAAGATAATAACCAGAATCCAGTGGCCTCGTAGGTCGTAGTCGGATGTAGTCGGTGGGGACTTATGTTTTGTCGTCGTAAGTCTGCGTGGGGTCGGAGACGGCAGCATATCGTATCGCATGTTTCCATGCATTATGTCTTCGAAGAAATTTCGAATTGGAGTAGGTGGGTGGATTTCGGGACTGTAGTAGCGCAGGGATGTGAGATGTGAGTAAGAGACCTCCGCTTGGGGAGAGGTATCGCTGCAAGTTTCCTTGCGGCACTGCGTAACTGTGTACACTCCTCCGCGCAATCCAACTGCACCCTGATGTTCCACCGTATCTGTAGTCCACCAGATAGCGCCGTGGATGGTGAGGAGTAGAGCGAGAGCTGACCACCATAGGCCAGCTCCGCTACCAAGTTTGAAGGGGGCTGGAAGGCCCAGCCAACAGTTTCGCCTCAGGCCAAACTCCCGCTCTGTTGCATCGTAGTAGCGGCAGTCCCAGTATGAGAGGAGATGCCATCTCAAGCAATAGGAAGATCCTTTTGGTCTCGATAGCGATTGCGCCTCGTAGCGAGGCACAATTAAATTTGGGCGGCCGGCCGCTTGAGCCGGCGCGGCCGCGGGCAAACGCTCGCTTCCGCTCCTTGCGTCCCTCAGCTCGCTTTAGAATCGGGCCCCCTGGGGACTCTCCTCTCGGGCTGCCTTGTGCTGCTCGGCGCTGTCTGGAGGCTGTCTTGGAGCCCTCCTCTTGGGGGCCTCGTGGAACGCGTGGCGCCGATTTGGGGAGCCGTTGGGCAGACGTGGCCGCCGATGGAACAAGAAACGAATAGCATAGAACAGAAAATTTTTCAATTGGAAATGCTAGTTGCTTGCGCCCAGGAGAATTGTCAGCGGCCTCCTGGACCGTCTTCGAGTCCTGGTAAGCCTTTTTTGGCCCTCTGGGAGCCCAGTTCTGCCGTTATGGGTCCCTCTTCGCCCATCATGAGGACCCGAACCCGTCTTGGGGCCCTCGGGGGGCCCTCTCCAACCATGTAGGGATCCTCTGGTGGCCCCCATCGGGGTTCCTGGGTACTCTCTTGGGCCGTGTTGCAGCTCTCCTGTGCTGCTTGAAGCGCTCTTCAAGCCGTCTGGGGTCCCTCTTGGGGGCCTCTTGGGCCGTCTAAGGCTCATTTTGGGAGCCTCTGGGGCCGTCGCGGCCGCTGGTAGGACTGAAAAGTAAATATCCAGACAATGCACGCTGTTCCATAGGAAATGCTGGATGTCTGCCCTTGGAGGGCCTTCTCGGCGGCCTCTCGGACCGTCTTGAATGCCTTTGTGGTCGTCGAGGAGCAGTCTTGGGCTGTTTTCGAGCGCTCGTGGCCCGTCCGGAAGCCATCTCAGCGCGCTCTTCAGCCACCTTCCAGACAACCCAAGGCGCTTTGGGCGCCTCTTGGGCCAGCTTGGAAGCCTCTGGGGGGGGGCCCAGACCCCCCTTTCCGAACCTTCTTGGAGCCCTCAAGGCCCCCCCGGCCCCCCATGCGAACCAGAGGTTGCAGTTCTGGGCCCTCCCCCGGACTACTCCGATATATATATATATATATATATGCACACATGAATAATAAAACAAAAACAAAAAACAAAAACTCCATACATAAATTAATACATACATAAAATAAATGAATAAATGAGTAAATGCATAAGGTAATACACAAATACATAAGCATATAAAGACATGAATAAAGAAATGCATACATCAGTGCAAGCTGGGGAGACTCCCGAGGGCCAGACTTGTTTTGCATCCGCAACTCTGTGTGATGACTCGTCCCGGAGCTCCGTGCAACATTGACTGACTGGGCGAATCACCTCGACCAAGGAAAACGCGTCCCGAGACAATCGCAGTCCACTGGGCACTGCTCGAGCTGAAAATGGGATGGGAGCGCAGCGTGGGTGGGGGGCCTGAGCACAAGTGACAGCGGCCCTCTCCCGCTCTCCACCACGCAACAAAGAATCTATGGCACGCCATTGCAATCTGCGCAAGCTGGGGGGACTCCCGAGGGCCAGACTTGTTTTGCATCCGCAACTCTGTGTGATGACTCGTCCCGGAGCTCCGTGCAACATTGACTGACTGGGCGAGGCACCTCGACCAAGGAAAACGCGCCCCGAGACAATCACATTCCGAAACCTAAAAACTCGAGCAACTGCGAATTTTGAAATCCTGGCCTTAGGCCTCCACAAACCTGTCCAGGCTCAGAAACGTGTGGTTTCGCAAAGCCTGCTGAAAACACTTAGCTACCAGCCTGCATAAATCTTTTGGATACGGTTCTGCGATGTGTGTCCAGAAGGTGCCTGAGGCATCTTTGCCTTCGAGGACCTGATGGGGGCGGCGGCTAAAACTGCAGACCCCACGACCTGAGCATTTACAAGGGATGAGCGGGTCGAGGTTGAGATGGCAATACAGCAGCCGAGTGCGTTTGCGCCAGGGGGTCGAGAACGCACAGAAATCAAAGTCCACATTGCGAGTGTTACGAAGTCGAATGAGACTGAGCGCGCCTGGAAGCTGCCACAACCAAGACGTGCTAGGATTCTCAATCACAACTGGCATGTTCAAACTGCGGGCGAGCAAGAAAAGAGAGAAGCTGAAAGTGGCAAGCGCGTTTCCTCTCTCGACCTTGAGCTGATCTCCTGGCGACAGGCCTGGCAGCCCTAGCGGGAACAGTCTCGTGCGCAAGGGTGGTGGCCCGTTGGGGCGGTTGCGGGCGCGGCTCATGGAATGGCAAGGCGTCGCAATCCAGATCGCGACGATGAGCCGACTCCGCACCCAGCCTCGAACCCGCTGCCTGATCCGCCTGAGGAGGAGATCGCCGTCGGCGTCGTGGCGGATGTCCAGTTCGAAGGCGGCATGCTGCGAACGGAACCGCAAGCGCCACGCCGCCGACATCCGCCCGGAGCCGCTGAAGACCTCCAGGAAAACGCCCGCCTTGGAGCGCCTCACCCACGATGCCAACTCGCCGACAGGGTGGCGCCAATCCCGCGGAACGCCTGCTCGGCACGGAGCTGCAGGGCGCGCGGCAGCCGGTGAAGCTGCTCCTGCACCCGACCGCCCTTGGCGTAGCGCCGAAGAGCGGCGTCGGTCGCCCACCTGCCGCGCTTCTGGATGTCGCGCAGAGGCCGCGCCGCCGCGTACAGCTCGTGGCTCGCGCCGCCGTGCCGCAGCTGGTGCAGCGTCAGGTTGCCCAAGACCTGCAGGCCGAGCTCGACAACGACGGCCTTGAAGTGGTAGTTCCACTGCGCGTAGGTCACGGGAAACAGGCGGTGGCCAGCAGGCGTGCGGCGGTGCAGCTCCTGCACAAGGCCTGGCATCCACGGGAAGCAGGTGGAGTCCACCAGCAGGCTCTCGTCGAACACGCCTGTCTTGGACGGGGTCTGCCTCTCGAACAGATGGAGGACTACGCACCAATGGTGCATCGCCGTGGCCGTGGTGAACCCTGGCGGGATGAGCTGCGACTGCGCGAGATCCAGCGTTTCGCGCGGCCTCAGGTAAAGGCCGAACGTGAGCGCGGTGAGCCGCGCGTACACCACCAGGCCCCTGCGGCACAGGGTCTCCACGATGAGGCACACCACAGGCCACGGGAGCGGCAGCCGCGACCGAGGCGGCGCCAGGCGAGACCAACCCTTGGCTGCCCGCGCCGCCCGCGGCAGGCGCCCCTGGCGCGGCCCGAGGTCCGAGCGCACGAAGGCGAGGGCCGCCATCAGCTTCCACGCGTCGCTGCTCTCGCCCCCGTCCAGGAACTCCTCGTGGAAGAACAGCACCAGCGCGTTGTCCACCTCTGCCGGCGTCACCAGCGAATGCCCCCGCTGGCAGGCCCACAGGCTGAAGGCGGCCTGTCGACGCTGGTAGTCTGCCCTGGTCGCGTCCCCCACCGACTGCTCCTCCAGGAAGGTCAAGCCCCGGCGGGGGGCCGAAGCCGGGAGGGAGGGGAAACGGCTCGCCCTCTCCTGCCGACGGACTGCCCGGCGGTCGCTCTCGGCTGGGCGCGCTGAAGCCCCCGGCGCCGCACGCGGCCTGCACGGCAACTGGTGAGTACCCGCAGCACCCAGGGCCGCAGCCGGCCTCTTGCGAGCCCGCGTCGCCGGCGCAGCAGGGGCCGCCATGAAACCGAGGGCCGACATCGACAGTGGCGCCGCCATCCTCCCAGAGGCCCAGTGCCTGGGCGGGCGCGCAGGACGCGTCAAGCCTCGATGTCTTGGCCCGCACGGCTTCGGGGATGCCACCAGTCTGGTCACGAGAAGCTGGATCTGCGCTGTTATGTTCTGATGGGACCCAACGCCAGATAGCTGAGGACCCCGAAGCCAACAGAAGAGCACATGCTTGACGACAGATTCTCAGAAGCGGAGGCGACGATGATCTGCCCTTGAGAAGGGCCAACACTGGGGCCATGGAGTCATTCAAGATGATGTGCGTGGTGTTGAAGTTTCGAGCGGCTCGCAACCGATGTTTCAGGCATAAGACTAACGCTCTCCCCTCCAGTGCCACCCGAGCCTCCCTCCTGGTCCATGGTGTAGATAGAACCCGATGCCATCCTTCCGCCCAGACCTCCACTGGCACCTCCTCGAACGTGACCTCCTCCTCCTGATTCGGCTTCGGCTCGACTCGGAACGGGGCCTGCTGCTCCATAACTGCTGCTATGACTGCTGGATCGCGATCGGGCTCCGACGGGCCTTGCTTGATGCATGACGAGGTGATGCGCTCAGCTTGCTTGCTCTCCAGGGCTAGGGCCTTGTCCCGAGGGGCGACCTGTTGCTCGCCATCGCGACTGAACCTCCATCGCTCGTTGAAGATAAACAAACGACGAGCTTGGTCCGAGGTGATGGTCTTCTCTGTCACACCTGCGCCCCACCACGAGGCGTCCACGCAAGACACGACAGGCGACAGAGGCCGCCCGGCGTCTCGAAAGCACAGGGGCAGCAGCGCGCGGCGCCAGGTCAGTTCCCGCCTCACTGCCGGAGTCAGCCGCCGCCTCTCGCGGCCGCCGTCGCCCATGAAGCCGTACACGGCCCCTAGGCAGCTCAGCAGCTCTCGGCGAATTAACGCCCTCGACGTGAAGTGCGATATCACCTTCATCATGGTGCGACCGCTGCACCAGCCACGCTCCAGCAGCTCGCCGATGCCAAGGCGAAGCCGCCAGCGTAGCCGAACGCTGAGACCGATCACGGGCTTGTCCTCGTCGAAGTGCCAGCCCAGCGCGTCGCCGCCGACGGATGCTTCCACGGGGTGCGAGGGGAGGTCTGAAGCCGTCAGCTCCCTCTGCACTGCAGTAGCTGCATCACGCACCTCGCGCAGCCTGTGGGACAGGGCGATGAAGTTGTCGACGTACACCGCGTGCGCCATTCCTTGCTGCAGGTCAGGCGCGGGCCGACGGTCCACAAGTCGACGGCCAAAATGGCCAGGAAGAGCGCGAGCGGTCACCGCCTCGTTCAAGCTCTGACATATCCATAGGCTGATGCTCCAGCCCATCGGCGGGCACCGAAAGCACGGTACCACCCAGGCCGAAGGTCTCACGGGCGCACCGTCGGACAAGTGCGTCAGCCCGAGGTCGCCAGCCCTCAACTTGGGCAGCCCGAAGTAGCGGCGCAGCCACTGCGGAAGCTCGATCTGGCAAAACGCGTCGCAGATGTCGACGCCCCCGATGCTGATGGGCTCGTCGCCGTCGACCGAGATCTGAGCGAACGCCGAACCCGTCGCCAGCTCCACGGGGTCCGCGGGCGCAAACCTGAGCGATGCGTGCCTCCCGTCGAGGATCATCCGCAGCGACCCGTTCTTCTTGCGCACGAAGAACATGCCAACGTAACACTCCGCCGAGCTGCTGAAGTCCACCAGCCCGGCGCTCATAAGCCGCCGCACCACCGTCGCGTAGAGGCGCGGGTTGCGAAGGGCAGGGTCCGTGTAGAGTCGTCTCGGACCTGCCTCCTTGATGCGCTCCATCCCCAGCTGTCGGGGCAGGAGTAACTCTTTCAGCCGGTGAGCGATGTTCTGGCCTGCCATCTCGTCGATAGTCTCCAGGGCGGCGGGTTGGCTGCCAGCAGGAGGCAATGAGATGGGGTCGACGAGGTCGAAGCTCACCGGGGCAACCAACGTGGCGTCACCCTCGTATGATTGAGATATCCGGAGCTCCTCGAGGGCTCCTGGACCGTCCAAGCCCTCTGGGCACGGGCCAAACCTCGCAGCGGCCTGGCGGAGCTCCGAGAGGACGAGGGCGCGGCCAGCGGCGGGCACCGGCGTGCCTGCGGGCGCTTGACGGCGCGCCGCGGGCGGGCAGCCCCACAGTCCGTTCAGCGCGTCGGTCATCTCCTCGACCATGCCGCGAACGTGCGACCGCTTCTCAAGGCGCCTGCGCACTGACCTCGAAGGCGGGGAAGACGTAGTGGGAGAAGAAGCTCCAGCGCCAAAGTAAGGTAAAGGAAAGAGATCACGTTGGCGAAGGTCGGCGCTGGAGTGGGAAGCCTCATGTACAGGTAGATCTGCTGCGCCCGCGAGGCCCACGGGCGCCCCCTCTCTCAGCCTGGCTGACTCTCGGGCGAGGGGTACCCGAGAGCCGCCCGCGTCGCTCATGATGACAGAGCGCGACGCTCTTCACGGGCCTTCCTGATCTGCTTCAGGATCCCTGCGTCGCGCTCCACCTGTTTGGAGACATGCTCCAGCAGCAGCGGGCATATCAGGGAACGGCCATCCTCCTTGGCCGCTCCTGTGAACACCGCCGCCTCGTCCATGATGCCGAATCGGTGGAGCCCTCCTCCCCGAACTCGGCCCTTCTTCTTGCCGTCGCCCTCGTTGCCGTCCTTGGAGCCCTTCGACTGCTGCGCCTCGAACTCCATGGAATAAATGTACTCGTGCAGCCGCGCCTGACGACTGGCCAGCTCCGCCCCGACCAAGTCGGGAACATTCAACTGATCCCAGCACCCGAGATGTTCGATCATCTTCATTATGTTCTCATAATGAGCGACCCCGTAACCCTCCTTCGTGAGATGATAGAAGGCAACGAGGCTGTTGTAGTGCTCCACGGGGCCGCCCCGCTTCCTGTCGATGAACTGCGCGCACCAGAGCATGGTTCGAGGTCCGTCGAGCAGCCACCCCGGGATGGGGTTCTCTACCATCATCGGCACAGCCACACGCCAAGCCAGTCGCTGCCTGGAGCCGTCGGGTCGAGGTGGTGCGCCCAGCAGCCTGATGTCCGCCCCGCTCTCCGCGCACCGGTACACCGATGGGTCCATCGAGATCCTACGGATGGCAACCCAGCCTGCGGTCAGCTTCAGGAGGCCGATGTCACCTTCGATCCGCTCGGTCCCGTTGAGCTGGACAACGTCGCCACGACTGCCACCACCCGTGCTCTCGATGAGCACCCACACTGGGGCCAGCACAGCGGGCGGCCCAACCACTCCTGCCGCGGCCGGCGGCGCTGCGCCGGCGGCGCCCGCTGGGGCGCCTGCGGCCGGCACGGCGGCGGCCGCCAGGGGACCTGCTGCAGGGGCGGCGGCGGCGCCGGCCCCGGCCACGCTCACCAGTGGCGCGGCAGGCGCTGCTCCGGCGGCGGCTCCAGCCGCGGGCGCGTGAGCGGCAGGGCCTGCGCCAGGAACGCCTGGTCCAGGGGCGGCTGCGGAGAAGTCGAACTCCAGGTAGGAGCCACCAGCGGGAAGCGTGCGCGGCCTGCCAGCAGCGCGCTCGCGGTCCAAGTACAGCTGGTCAGCTACCTGCACGAAAGCGTCCTGGATAGCGACCGTCTCCCTCGCGTTCGGCTCGCGCCTGAACCTGTACAGCAGATTCGGGTCCCCACCCTGCAGCGCCTGGCGCGTCGGGCTGAAGACCACGGCGACGATGTCTGGGTTCCCCTGACCGTACCGCTCCTCGTACACGTCGTGATCGGCGCTCGAGAGGATGGGGCACGACCCCGACGGGCACGCCGGCGAGGAAGGACAAGTAGGCGCCGCAGGACACGGCGGCGCTCGCGATATCCAGGCCGCCAGCAGGTTGGTAGATGCGCCCAGGAGCCACACGAAGGGTCTGCCAACCATCCGCGTCTCTGCCTGGACAGGTGCCCCCAGCTCGCTGGAAGAAAGGCTTGAGCACAAGTGACAGCGGCCCTCTCCCGCTCTCCACCACGCAACAAAGAATCGATGGCACGCCATTGCAATACATAAAAAAAAAACGACCCCAACCTGTCAGATGGGGACACCCAAGTGGCTGACATCGGATTTGGCAGGGCGCGCGGGTGTCGGGCAGCACCTCGAAACAACGTGCAGGGGAGTCCCCGCGACGCGCGCTGGGCGCCATGAGAGGATTCCAACGACGCGCGCGGGTCGTCCACGGTGGTCCGCCCACGCAGATGGCCTGCCCACGCGCCGAGAGGCCCCGTCAAACGTCGCCCATCCGACTGCCCCATGGGGCAGACAGCGCGAAAACGCAGAAAGGGCGCACCAGACGACACTGTAGAATAACAAAAAGGCGGACCTCGAGAACTGCCGCGTTTGTGTGCCGGGCTGTGAATGTGGAACCTCGCTCGTAACACCTGAGCCGTTGCCTCAGCGCAGCGAGATGCGGTTTGCCAGAATCTGGTTTTAACGGCGCCGTGCCTGCAAAAACGAAACAAACTCTCACGGCTAGCGCTCGTCTTCGCCCGCAGCCTGCCCACGTGCTGAAAAGCCCTTTGAAGCGTCGCTCATCCGACTGCCTTTTAAGGAAATACGCAAACATGCAGGAATGGCGCCCCAGACGATCGCGTTGAAAAACAATAGGAAGTTAGCATTGGAAATCGCTGGCGCTCCCTATGGGAGCACGAAGCGCTGTATTCGGTAGGGGAGACGCATGCGGACACCGCCTCTGGGACCTTCGGTGGAGTTCCAATATGGGGTTGCGAAACGCTGGGCTTCGGATCCGCTCCCTGTGGGGCCGCGGGGCCCTGTACTGGATGGGGGAGATGCATCGAGCACGATGTGATCACACCCAATGGGACCTTCGGTGGATCTCCCTATGGGGTCACGATGCGCGTGAGGGGTTCGCCGCAGTGGGCGGGGAACCGCATGTGATCACAGCTACTGTCCCTATGGGGGCACAAAACGTTCAAGGTGTGTCCTGAAATGCGGCGGGGAGACGCATGCGGACCCTCCCAATGCGGCCTTCGGTAGAGCTCCCTATGGGGCCACGACGCTATGCCGAGATTGCACAGGGAGACGCAGGTGGACCGTCCCACTGGAACCTTCGGTGGAGTTCCCCATGGGGCCACGAAACATGTGAGTGGTGTACCAAAATGGGGTGGGGGGACACATGTGGACCCTCCCGCTGAGATCTTCGGTGGAGCTCCCACGAAAGGTGTGAAGGGTGTGCCGACATGGGTGGCGGGACCGCATGGGAACTGCGCCTCTGGGACCTTCGGTGGAGCTCCCCCTAGGGCCACGGAGCGTTTGAGGTGTCTTCCGAAATGGGTGGCGGGACGGCATGCGAACTGCGCCTCTGGGCCTCTGGGACCTTCGGTGGAGCTCCCCATGGGGCCACCAAGCGTGTGAGGGGTGTGCTGACATGGATGGCGGGAACTCATGGGAACTGCGCCACTGGGACCTTCGGTGGAGCTCCTTATAGGGGCCACCGAAGCGTGCGAGGTATGTGCCGACATGGGTGGCGGGAACTCATGGGAACTGCGCCACTGGGACCTTCGGTGAAGTTCCCTGTAAGGTTACGACACGTGCGCGAGGTGGGCCGAAATCGGTGGCGGGACGGCATGGGAACTGCGCCACTGGGACCTTCGGTGGTGGGGCCACGAAGCGTGTGAGGGTGTGCTGGCATGGGTGGCGGGACCGCATGCGGACAGCGCCACTGGGACCTTCGGTGGAGCTCCCTACGGGGCCACGAAAAGTGTGAGGGGTTGTAAAGAAATATGTGGCGGGACCGCATGGAAACTGCGTCATTAAGACCTTCGGTGGAGCTCCCTATGGCGCCACAAAACGTGTGAGGGGTGTGCCGGAATGGGTGACGGGACCGCATGCGGGCTGCGCCACTGGGACCTTCGGTGGAGTTCCTAATGGGGCCACGAAGCGTGCGAGGGGTGCCCGAAATGGGCGGGGAACCGCATGTGATCACAACCACTAGGGCCTTGGGTGGAGCTCCTTATGGGGCCGCGAAACGTGTGAGGGGTGCGCCGACATGGACACGAGGAGGGCAGAGGCAGGGATGGGAGGAGGGAGGAGGGCGAGGAGGAAGACGCGGGGCGCTCTCTCTTCAAAACGACGACTCCACCCCACAGGATGGTTGGATAAAAAATTGAGACACACGGGGACAAGACGAAACGCTTTTCATTCACGTGCATCACAATCAACCCGCAGAGTAAGGATGCGCGATAAGGATGCAAGCCCTTGGACGCCCATTTCGAAGCGTTTCGAGCGGGGCGCGGCCAACGAAAGTGCCCAAGGATGGACCCAGGAAGCAAGACTGCAAGGGTACCCTTGGGAGGGATGCCTATCCTTACTCTGCGGGTTGACTGCACTTCCAGTCCCCCGCTCGGCGGGCAGCCCACGACGACTTGGCGAGGATGGCTGCCGCACGCTCGCGCAGCAGGTCACGTCTGCTGCCGCCGTACTCCTGACATGCGCTTCGCTCGCCTGGCGTCCCGATGTGCGCACTCGCGGGGCCATTCTACGCGAAGGGCCCTACAACCAACCACGCCGCTACACGCGTTTCCTCATGCTCACCTCCTCCTTCTCCTCCTCCCCCTCCTCACTATTTTCCTGTCCTGCTCTTCCTCCTCGCTGTCGTCCCTCTCCTGCTCCTGATCCTCCTCCTCCTCCTCTTTCTGTTTCTGTCCTGCTCTTCCTTCTCGTTTTTTCCCTGCTCATGCTCATGCTCCTGCTCCTACTGTGCTGCTGCCGCTCCTCCTTTTCCTCCTCCGCTCACGAGAGGGGCCGGTGGTCCTAAAGCCAAAATGACTGCGGGCACCGAACAGCAGAACACAGCGGAGTGCGATCCAATCGCGACGCGTGCACGAGTACGAGGATGAGCCAAAACAAAATTGTCAGGACGGCAGGGATGGCCCGCCTCAGTGCCTGCACGGAGTGGGCGTGTTGGGATGCTTCTCTTGTCTGGTGAGGTGTCACTGAGAGTGCTTTCTGGAGCCGATGTCCCACCCACCTGCTTAGCGACCGCCCCCAAACAATCGCCCCCCTTGAGTTTGCTCTCCAACGCTCTTTTTCTGCGTCCGGATGGCTCCCAAACAACCAAGGAACCGCCCCATTACAGCCAGGCTCGCCCCTGGACGGCCCAAAAGGCTTCCAAGAAGGTCCCAAGACTGCCCAAGAAAGCATCGAGACAGTCCAAGA